GCATACGTTCGTAGCTCTGTGATGGTAGGACCTCTTGTGAGTCCGCACAGGTGCCACCACCCTGACTATTTCTGCCTGGAAGCAGTAATGCGTTTCGGTTTGAAGGGCGGGGCAGCCGTTGTAACTATTCTTGAGACCTTAGAACTTATATCTCAAGGTGGGTGGCGCATTTACGTTGTAGATGTCTATGGGCTCCAGTAACCACTTAACATCAGGTGGGCTGTGAGCTCGTCCACCCACGTTAATATTTCTGCTTCAAAGAGTTACAAGTGTTTAATTTAACAAAATCGCATTCAGTATTATAAATTGTTCGATTAATGCAGTATCCAAAGATAAACAAATCGACATTATGCACTATTATTTATTTATACTAATACACTATACACATTTTTTTCCGATGAGTAAAAATATATGTACATATTTTTATTACAGACAATAACAATCAAAGAAAAACAAATGAAACTCAACAAAAAGAAACCTGTGGTACCTATATTGTGTGTTAAGAAATAAAATATTTTATTACTTTATTATTTTCTAAAGCCAATCATAATATGTGTGTGTGTGTGTGTGTCTTTGTATTTTTTTAACTACGTTTACTTATTTTGAAATGGCATAAGTGATTTAGGTTTGTAGACATCTCTTAATGAAATATTTTCATTTGTCTATTTGGAGCAGTGGTGTGTGGAATCCACACCTCTTAGAAACATGTATTCGAAATGATTCTCATTTGGAACGCTGTTCATAAATTTGTACAGTAACTTACTGGTGGTAGAACCTCTTGTGAGTCCGCACAGGTAGGCACCACCACCCTGCCAATTTCTGCCGTGAAGCAGTAATGCGTTTCGGTTTGAAGTGTGGGGCAGCCCCTGTAACTATATTTGAGACCTTAGAACTTATATCTCAAGGTGGGTGGCGCGTTTACGTTGTAGATGTCTTTGGGCTCCAGTAACCACTTAACACCATGTGGGCTGTCAGCTCGTCCACCCATTTAAGCAATAAAAAAAAATCATAAACCTAAATTCAGTTTAAGTTAATCTCAATGGGATACTTTATAAATAATGTCTTTTTATTTTTGCTTGACAATTTTTTTTTGAAACGAGTTTACGACCCTCCTGATGGTAGGTAGTACCAGTCTCTCATGGACGTCAGCAATGCTGGGAGCACAGCTAAGCCACTGCTTACCGTACCTAAGTACATGCTACCTTTCCAGTTTCGTATCTTCATGTATGACGTCAGTTTGTGAAAGAGACCGATAACTTTGCAAGACCATAATAAAACAAGAATACAATATATAAACATAAACTCCGGCATCGCAGCTCTACACTTAAAATGATTCCCAGTGAAATCCGAAGAGTTTGGATGGAACAGAGCAAATTCCGTTTGGAGCATTCCAAACTCGGCTTCGCGAAAGTTCTCAAGTTATAACTTAAAACGTTTACGATTCAAAGCCTCGGATTTTGACGAGCTCTGCAGCGTTCTGATATCGTTTGTTAAGAAATTAAGGCATTGAATTGCGTTACTAAAACATTGAGAGAACGAGAAATAAGAGAAATATTACATGAAATATTACCTGTGTTATAATATATTCATTAATAATACTTGGATATACAGCTATGCACAAACACAAGCCACATATAGGACAAGAAATAAAAGAATGCAATAACAAAAAACATGTTTTCACGCGCGGGAGAAGTAAAACCAGCACATATATTCTATCTCATTCTCTCCTTTAGATGTTTGGATCGCTTTTCGAGTTTTGTTTTTCTTTCATCTTGCTTCTAAAGACAACGGTTCTAAAGAAGACACACACACACAGAATACGGTTTCTCTGCTCGAATTAAGAAAACAAGTTAATCGTCTAGATATAGACATTTTATCAATACGAGATAGTTAAATTTTATGATTTTCACAGCCATTACCTGTACATACATACATTTAAATTAACTCTAAATAAATATTTGTGAAACTTTTTGAAGTGGATCTTCTTAAGGCGCGTTCAGAGTAAACCTTATATCACGACAGATTCGTTACGGCTAGAGAGAAACGATACAATTTAGGAAGAGCGAGAGTGAAAAAAAAAAAGTGTGTTCATGTCACACACACTAGAAGTGGAACCTATGAAAATTAAGGATAATAGCAAGGGTCAACCGCCAACCACTCCGCAGTGCAATGGAGCACCCTCACCCTGGGGGAGCCGCCTGCATGATCACGTTATGTCTACGCCAGGTAAGTATGATTTGGCAAGAGAAATACGAGAACGTCTATCAACTGTGTAACATCTCGTCATCGCGATTCAGGAATTGTTGAAATTACGTGCAGCGATATCTGTTGATGACAAACCAAATAGAAATACCTAATTGTAAATCATCTTTTATAGTATGAGGTGTCAATTGATATTTTAACTTCACGTTTCATTTTTTCGTTCCATTGAGTTTGAAATCACATCACAACGATTCTAAAGAAGTTTCACTTCAAAAATAGACAGAGCACCTCGCGAACCACTCGACCGTGGAGAGAGTGAAAGACAAAGCGAGCTAGGTTACTTCTCTTATACACAGCATTTCCTATTACAAGAGAAATTTGATTTAAATATGGAAAATGAAGAAAACCACAATACTGCACACCGCAAAAGAAGATGCACTTCTTTACGCGCACCAAGTTGCACGCGCACCATTTTTTTAAACTAATTTTTCATTTGTGTGTCGTAATAGAAAAAAAGATCTTCGACGTTCCCACCGCCAGAACTTTGACGGCATATTTACTGAGCGACATGTATATTTATGTTACGTCATTTCGTTTTCAGTCATAGAAAATCAGTGGAAATGAGCAAAAACTCGTAGCCCCGTAGTCGCAGGTAATGACGCGAGCTATCAGTTGTTCACACACCATCTCCGATGATCGGCGTCTTTCGGTGTAAATAAACATTTTGTTTACTAACATGTTTCTCATTAAATCTTTGGCACGTGAGGAAGGATCAAATTTAGTTTATATAACATCAAGTAATTAATTAAAGCTAATACGTAAAGTAAGTTACTAAATTGGATATAATCACGTTCCATAATCACGGTCTTCTGATCGAAGTAACTAATGACAATACTAAGTAGAGATTAAACCGTAACAATAGTTTTAATTATGTCTATGACTCGAGGAAACTAAAAAAAATACTTAGGATATATTGTATTCTTTTAAATTACTGTTTCAAAGACACCGTCCTGGCCTAAAAGGATAAGACTCTTAGTGCATTCAGCGATGCGAATGTGCCCGTGTTCGAATCCCGTAGACAGATACCAGTTTTACTAATCATTTCGTATGACACATACCAGTTTTACTAATCATTACATATTTAACACATACTAGAGGTCCCGCAGAAGTCGAAATTCGATTATAATTAATTGGAATTGTAAGTTTGTACACTATTATGATTGTATTTTATACTTCTATAATCACAAATTTCGCCAAGACTACGCTATAAAAAATATTAACAAAGACAAACAATATTTAATCTCAATATGACAACAGACGTCAAGAACAAAAGTTTGACAATAAATAGTATGCATGCGTGTGTGCTTCAAATACATTGTATGTAGCGTGTGTAATGTTTTCTTTATTGATTTAATGTATCTTTTATACATTATTTAAAAAAAATATTAGCACTGTGCACTTCTTCTCTATGTCCTCTATAAGTGTGAAAAATTTCATACTGCTCCGTCCGCGCAATTTTCGTAAAAAGGGATACAAAGTTTTTGCTTCACGTATTAATATATAGATTCACGAATGAATTCCTTTACCTGCGTTAGACAGTCTTGTGACCTGAACGGATAGGTATCACCACCACCCTAGATATTTCTGCCCTAAAGCATATAATGCATTTCGGTTTGAAACGTGGGGCAGCCGTTGTAAATATAAAACTTAGAACTCATAATTATCTCAAGATGGGTGGTGCTATTTACCTTGTTGTCATATCGTCTTTTCGCATTAAATGCGTGCAATTTCCAAAAATATTCGAAATTGAGTTAATATGCGGAATCATTTGGTATCACCAGCGTTTTTCTCATAAATACTGTCAAAAGAGCGTAGTTTAGTTTTAGTTTTTTTTTTTTTAGTTTACCTATGTTTTGACTACTATTAACAAAATTAATACATAATAGTATCTTACTTTAAAAGACAGATAATCTAACTGGTAAAAAATAAAAAATAAATGTTGCAAAGATAATTAAAGATGATGATGAGATATTAAAAATATCACATGTTAAGCCTTTAAAATACTCTCCTGCAAAATTTGTAAGTTTTGAAATTATACAGTTTTAATGCGAGAAGACGATATAGGTGCTCCTGTAACTGTAACTGCTTAAAATCCGGTGGGCCGTGACCTCATCTATCCATCTAACTGATAAATAAAAGCAATCGTACAGAATACTGCTGTAGAACGTCTTCAAGCCAAAGTGTGCCATAAAAAGTACGACTTGTTTGTAAAGAGACTTAATACATATTACTTTGCTCCGGTGTGAGGTCTTAACGTATTAGAAGGCCATTCTACTTGAGATGACGATTAAATTTGTCCGAATTTCCTACTACAAAATGTTTGACCGCCGAATAACACTGATATAAGCAACAATGGCGAAATGACGTTAATATTTAAAGGAAAAAATAATAATAAATTTTCAGCATGCAAAATCTATTCTCATATTCATTGAGACACTGTTTTTTTATTACTCATAATAATTACAAGCCGCCTATACATAAACAAAGACATTTAAACCACATGCGAACAATAACATAATGGGAATGAATTCAATGGATCATTCAATAGCGTCGAACAACGCAAATGCATCTTTTCAAAACAATTTCATTATATGAGGCTTGATTATATAAAAACAAAACAAAAAATAAATTATCACCGTTATTAATTATATCAGTATTCAATAAATCAAATTGTTGCATTAATTTCAATTGAAAACTGAATGAAAATAACTATTCTTACTAAGCTGACACTTGCGCAGGTGCTGAGCTCCGCTTTCGATGTATATAAAATGCCACATCACATAATATAATGAGCACTTAGTTCATCCAAACGAAACGTGAAACATACAAGCGACAATGAAAGCCTTCAATTTACTTCTACTGCTTTGCTTGGTAAGTTAAATTTAATAATCACTAGACTAATAATTTCTGGGCGATTTAAAGAACGATAGATATACCTTTGTCAATGAATTAAAGTTCCATTTCAATCTTCGGCTATTATTTTCTTTATTTATAGCTTAGTTGGGTGTAAGGGCACAGCCTACCCACTACATTTAAGGGTACCATAAATTAACAGCACTCAAAACGCGATCCCTTTGCACGTTTTAGTAGAATACTCAACTGACTTAGTAGTGCAGTAAGTAGCGCCCCGGAAAATGATAAAAATTCGTCAAATATGTTTAATATCTATTTATGTAAACTTATATATCTATTTGTTTCAGTCTCTTCTCATAATACACATAGATCCAGATTAGGGCTAAATTTGTGTGACTTGCCTCGGTCATTTTTTTTCCCAGAAACAACCCACTGAGTTTCTCGCTGGATCTTCTCATTGTTTCCGATCAGTTATTAGATTCAACGAAGCACTGCTTTTTCTAGAGTAGATGTTAACAAATTCTCTCCCCCAGCCATGACGAGCCAGAATAGCCTTTCGAGGACTAATTGGGTCGAAGGGCGGCTAGGTAGGTAAAAAAAGGTTATTATCATTGGTACTAAGCTACTATTTCGTTTATTACAGCTGTACTGCATTGCGGTCGCTCCAAGCTACGCTCAAAACGATGACGACGAACAGGATATATGTGATAGTATAGTAGTGGACGTCGATGCATTAAATGGAGTCCTTTGAGAAATAAACAATTACATTCTTACAAATACAATTTTTTTTAATAATAAACTCAAAGAAACCATTTTATACAACCAATGTAAATATATAAAATAGATGAATGGAAAGAATGAGTTATAATATCCTCTGATTACTTTTCTCGATATCTCTTACTTTTGAAAGATTTGATATTTCTTTGAAAACTACGATGTGTCTAGCGATGCTCTCTATACTTTGTGTTACATGGGAAATGGTACAGCATCTCCCCACTAGGTACCTACTTGACACTGTGTATTTTTATCGCAAAACAAAAAAGCGTTCCAGTATTAGAAATGGGACAGCCGTTATATGGTACTATGCAATAAGACTTAGATCTTATATCTCTGGGTGCGTGGTGGTATTCGTGGTCTCCTGTAACCACTTAAAACCAGGTGAGCGGCAAATTCGTTCTACGGTATATGCAATAGAAATCATAGACTCTCTGCACAGTGAATTCTAAGAAAACATTTAGACTACGTACAGTGTAGAAGCTTATAAACGCAAATAGATTTTCTAGGCCTTGTGACATATCCTTCATCTAATGAAGTAATATACAAATGTATCTAACTGGATACACAGCGGATTAATTATGCTCCAGACATTACTGCCAGCGTCAGATATAATAATAAAATTACAGAAAAATTAATAAAATATGATATTTGCATCTTTTTCATATCTTAATATCTAAATCTTAGTATAAATGATTTTAATAATAAAATGCAACTGGAACCAGAAAGTGTTGAAGTAATAGAAACACCAAAATAAGAAACAGAAAAACTCCCCTCTTATAGTACTTTGGAATTGATATATGGACATCGTGGATCAGGCAGACGGCCGGTCGTAAAACTAATGCTTTTATTTATTATTGCTTAGGTGGGTGGACGAGCTCATGGCCCACCTGGTGTTAAGTGGTTACCGGAACCCAAAGGCACCTACGACGTAAATACCGCCCCCCACCTCGAGACATAAGTACTAAGGTCTCAGTTTTTACAGTTCAGCGGCTGCTCCACCCTTCAAACCGAAACGCATTACTGCTTCACGGCATATATAGGCAGGGTGGTGGTACCTACCCTTTCGGACTTACAAGACGTCCTACCACCAGTAATTACGCAAATAATAATTTGCTAAATCCCTATGCAGTATGATAACAGGATATTCTTCGATGACTTCACATAATGTGGTATAAGAGCGAGAAGAAGAAGAAATAAGAGTGTCAGCGTTTGTCTTGCCTTGTCACTAAGTTGGCCCAACCGTCCATAATAATGACAACAAAAAATAGCAAATTTTGTCATCAAATGGATCCTTTAATAATTAAATATTAATGAATCGAATTCCAATTCTACGACAATCGCTATCCTCCTTTACGACTAAAACGGCCTAAAACCTCAGCAATGTAAATTCTGTTGTAAAGTTTTGAACCTGGGAATCGTTCCCCGGGGGATGTTTGACTTGGAAACTCAAACCCCTTGCCCTTTTGTCTCTTTAACTTTCGATTTTGCCACACTTCTTTAACAACGACTTTACCCTCCTAATATTTAATGTGAATTATATTCTCTGAATGTATTTGGGATGACACCATGCATTTCGGATGTGAAATGGTCAGAATTGTAATAGGTGCGAGCTTTGTACCGTTTCAACATGTGGTAAAAATCTTAGCATTACCAAAGATTATTGACAACTATTTTAGACACCCGGTCCATCTCTAACTACGTCACAATACATCTTCAATAGAATAATAATAATCTGGTTACTGCCTACGTTCACGCTAAGTTTCTGCAAAATATTTTTTTTCCTACCTAATCTGATGGTCTTGAGAAGCCATTTCAGCGTAGCCTTAACTAGTAGGTGAGCTCACGGGGCTTAAACCTGACCTCTCTAATACTAACCCTAGCAAAAGAGTAGTACTTCGCAGAATCTACCACGTAAACGCGACCCACTGATCCGGCGAGAAACTCAGTGGGCTCTGTGGGTTAATTTATTTGCCGAGCCCTGCGTCGCAAGCGACGTGTTCGACGAGAACGATGACCAGTTCTGCAGAGTTTACTCATGTTTTCGTTGATAATTATTTAAAGTGCAATTCATTTAAGGAATGCTTCAGATTAAATTTAAATAACATGATTTATTTAGTGTATAACTTATATTTATTGAACGTGACGTCACTTAAGGTAATCGAAGTGAATACGGTAAATCACGTTAACACGTATGTGGACTGATGACTTGCACCTGTCAAAACATCAACAGTTAAATATGACGTTTTTTTCGGTACTTTCCAGTATATTACTAGTGATTTCATTGAATTCAACTACAATACAAGAGCTGGTAATAACGTGCACATGCTATATCTGCAAAAATGAAAATCTTCAATCTGTTCTTGATTATGTGCGTGGTAAGTTATAAAAGATAATACTGATAAATTAATTGTTCATAAAATCTTCCGATCGATTTGAGCGTTACTTTCTCTATTCTTTTTTTTTTCATCACCTTATCCCATAAGGACTAACTTCATGACGATTAATTTCATAACGATAACGATGTTGTTGACGTTTTAATTTCAGGTAAAACGCGCGCGTAAAATACCCAATACGAGTATGTATTTCATAAGCAAACATTCGCGGCCTAAGAAAGGGATAGAGTGACATATATTCTACCTCATTCTCTCCTTTAGATGTTTGGATCGCTTTTCGAGTTTTGTTTTTCTTTCATCTTGTTTCTAAAGACAACGGTTCTAAAGAAGACACACACACACAGAATACGGTTTCTCTGCTCGAATTAAGAAAACAAGTTAATCGTCTAGATATAGACATTTTATCNTTAGCGGCCGCGGGAGCTCGAGACTCCGCGGCACGCTTCTTACCCTTTTGTACCAGGGTGAATCCATCCGTCGATGAGGCGGGAGCGAGGTCGACCTCCATCTCCGAGTCAGAGTCGGAGGACGAGGAGGCGGGCGCAGGTGACCTACGAGCAGGTGTTTTGGAGGGCACGACGGAGGCTGCGGATGATCGCGCTGCTGGAACGGTGGCTACGGCGGACGACGCAGCAGTTTTACTCGCCAGTATAGGCGACGCGGGAACGGCAGGCACGACGGAGGCTGCGGTGCTCGATGCAGAAGCTTTGCACGCAGGTACAGGCGACGCAGGAGCAGCGAGCTCGGCGGAGTCCACGAGAGGGCTCGCGGTGTGGTCGGCCTTGAAGGCCAGAAACTCTGAGGCGAGCTGTGGGTGGCGAAGTCGGAGGAATTCCGCGAATACAGCGTCCATGATCGCTGAGTGCCCAAGCGGGGCGGCCCCGGGTCTTGAAAACACTCGCCTTGCGGCGAGGCCCCAACTTCTCGGACCTGAGCGGTTCTATTGAACACAGGTGGCGATGCGGCACGATTACTACAGGACAAATAAAAACACAACAAAACGGAAATAACAAAAAGAAACAGAACAATTAAACACTTCCAGAAAAACAGTTTGTCGGCAGATGTACCACGAACACAGAAACAACAAAAGGAAACAAAACAAATAAAAACTTCCAGGAAGAGCACTTAGTCGGCAGATGTACCACGAACACAGGCCGCGCGAACAATGGCCGGGCTAACAAAAGCCGGGCAAACAAAGACCGGGCGATCGAGTGGTCGATGAGCACGTCCGCACGTGACGGGTGCCTCTATCGGAATGCAAAGATAATTAAAGATGATGATGAGATATTAAAAATATCACATGTTAAACCTTTAAAACACTCTACTGTAAAATTTGTAAGTTTGAAATTATACAGTTTTAATGCGAGAAGACGATATAGGTGCTCCTGTAACTGTTACTGCTTAAAATCCGGTGGGCCGTGACCTCATCTATCCATCTAACTGATAAATAAAAGCAATCGTACAGAATACTGCTGTAGAACGTCTTCAAGCCAAAGTGTGCCATGAAAAATACGACTTGTTTGTAAAGAGACTTAATACATATTACTTTGCTCCGGTCTGAAGTCTTTACGTATTAGAAGGCCATTCTACTTGAGATGACGATTAAATTTGTCCGAATTTCCTACTACAAAATGTTTGACCGCCGAATAACACTGATATAAGCAACAATGGCGAAATGACGTTAATATTTAAAGGAAAAAATAATAATAAATTTTCAGCATGCAAAATCTATTCTCATATTCATTGAGACACTGTTTTTTTTATTACTCATAATAATTACAAGCCGCCTATACATAAACAAAGACATTTAAACCACATGCGAACAATAACATAATGGGAATGAATTCAATGGGTCATTCAATAGGGTCGAACAACGCAAATGCATCTTTTCAAAACAATTTCATTATATGAGGCTTGTTATATAAAAACAAAACAAAAAATAAATTATCACCGTTATCAATTATATCAGTATTCAATAAATCAAATTGTTGCATTAATTTCAATTGAAAACTGAATGAAAATAACTATTCTTACTAAACTGACACTTGCGCAGGTGCTGAGCTCCGCTTTCGATGTATATAAAATGCCACATCACATAATATAATGAGCACTTAGTTCATCCAAACGAAACGTGAAACATACAAGCGACAATGAAAGCCTTCAATTTACTTCTACTGCTTTGCTTGGTAAGTTAAATTTAATAATCACTAGACTATTAATTTCTGGGCGATTTAAAGAACGATAGATATACCTTTGTCCATTTCAATCTTCGGCTATTATTTTCTTTATTTATAGCTTAGTTGGGTGTAAGGGCACAGCCTACCCACTACATTTAAGGGTACCATAAATTAACAGCACTCAAAACGCGATCCCTTTGCACGTTTTAGTAGAATACTCAACTGACTTAGTAGTGCAGTAAGTAAGTAGCGCCCCGGAAAATGATAAAAATTCGTCAAATATGTTTAATATCTATTTATGTAAACTTATATATCTATTTGTTTCAGTCTCTTCTCATAATACACATAGATCCAGATTACGGCTAAATTTGTATGACTTGCCTCGGTCATTTTTTTTCCCAGAAACAACCCACTGAGTTTCTCGCTGGATCTTCTCATTGTTTCCGATCAGTTATTAGATTCAACGAAGCACTGCTTTTTCTAGAGTAGATGTTAACAAATTCTCTCCCCCAGCCATGACGAGCCAGAATAGCCTTTCGAGGACTAATTGGGTCGAAGGGCGGCTAGGTAGGTAAAAAAAGGTTATTATCATTGGTACTAAGCCACTATTTCGTTTATTACAGCTGTACTGCATTGCGGTCGCTCCAAGCTACGCTCAAAACGATGACGAAAAGGATATAGGTGATAGTATAGTATTGGACGTCGATGCATTAAATTGAGTCCTTTGAGAAATAAACAATTACATTCTTACGAATACAATTTTTTTTAATAATAAACTCAAAGAAACCATTTTATACAACCAATGTAAATATATAAAATGGATGAATGGAAGGAATGAATTATAATATCCTCTGATTACTTTTCTCGATATCTCTTACTTTTAAAAGATTTGATATTTCTAAACCTAATATTTCTAAAACTACGATGTGTCTAGCGATGCTCTCTATACTTTGTGTTACATGGGAAATGGTACAGCATCTCCCCACTAGATACCTACCTGACTCTGTGTATTCTTATCGCGAAACAAAAAAGCGTTCCAGTATTAGAAAAGGTACAGCCGTTATATGGTACTATGCAACAAGACTTAGATCTTATGTCTCTGGGTGCGTGGTGGTATTCGTGGTCTCCTGTAACCACTTAAAACCAGGTGGGCGGCAAATTCGTTCCACGGTATATGCAATAGAAATCATAGACTCTCTGCACAGTGAATTCTAAGAAAACATTTAGACTACGTACAATCAAGAAGCTTATAAACGCAAATAGATTTTCTAGGCCTTGTGACATATCCTTCATCTAATGAAGTAATATACAAATATATCTAACTGGATACACAACGGATTAATTATGCTCCGGACATTACTGCCAGCGTCAGATATAATAATAAAAATACAGAAAAATTAATAAAATATGATATTTGCATCTTTTTCATATCTTAATATCTAAATCTTAGTATAAATGATTTTAATAATAAAATGCAACTGGAACCAGAAAGTGTTGAAGTAATAGAAACATCAAAATAAGAAACAGAAAAACTCCTCTCTTATAGTACTTTGGAATTGATATATGGACATCGTGGATCAGGCAGACGTAAAACTAATGCTTTTATTTATTATTGCTTAGGTGGGTGGACGAGCTCATGGCCCACCTGGTGTTAAGTGGTTACCGGAATCCAAAGGCACCTACGACGTAAATACCGCCACCCACCTCGAGACATAAGTACTAAGGTCTCAGTTTTTACAATACAACGGCTGCTCCACCCTTCAAACCGAAACGCATTACTGCTTCACTTCATAAATAGGCAGGGTGGTGGTACCTACTCTTTCGGACTTACAAGACGTCCTACCACCAGTAATTACGCAAATAATAATTTGCTAAATCCCTATGCAGTATGATAACAGGATATTCTTCGATGACTTCACATAATGTGGTATAAGAGCGAGAAGAAGAAAAAATAAGAGTGTCAGCGTCTGTCTTGCCTTGTCACTAAGTTGGCCCAACCGTCCGTAATAATGACAACAAAAAATAGCAAATTTTGTCATGAAATGGATCCTTTAATAATTAAATATTAATGAATCGAATTCCAATTCTACGACAATCGTTATCCTCCTTTACGACTAAAACGGCCTAAAACCTCAGCAATGTAAATTCTGTTGTAAAGTTTTGAACCTGGGAATCGTTCCCCGGGGGATGTTTGACTTGGAAACTCAAACCCCTTGCCCTTTTGTCTCTTTAACTTTCGATTTTGCCACACTTCTTTAACATCGACTTTACCCTCCTAATATTTAATGTGAATTATATTCTCTGAATGTATTTGGGATGACACCATGCATTTCGGATGTGAAATGGTCAGAATTGTAATAACTGCGAGTTTTGTACCGTTGGTGTGTAACATGTGGTAAAAATCTTAGCATTACCAAAGATTATTGACAACTATTTTAGACACCCGGTCTATCTCTAACTACGTCACAATACATCTTCAATAGAATAATTGTGTGTATTAATATGATAATCTGGTTACTGCCTACGTTCACGTTTCTGCAAAATATTTTTTTTCCTACCTAATCTGATGGTCTTGAGAAGCCATTTCAGCGTAGCCTTAACTAGTAGGTGAGCTCACGGGGCTTAAACCTGACCTGTCTAATACTAACCCTAGCAAAAGAGCAGTGCTTCGCAGAATCTACCACGTAAACGCGACCCACTGATCCGGCGAGAAACTCAGTGGGCTCTGTGGGTTAATTTATTTGCCGAGCCCTGCGTCGCAAGCGACGTGTTCGACGAGAACGATGACCAGTTCTGCAGAGTTTACTCATGTTTTCGTTGATAATTATTTAAAGCGCGATTCATTTAAGGAATGCTTCAGATTAAATTTAAATAACATGATTTATTTAGTGTATAACTTATATTTATTGAGCGTGACGTCACTTAAGGTAATCGAAGTGAATACAGTAAATCACGTCACACGTATGTAGAACTAATGATTTGCACCTGTCAAAACATCAACAGTTAAATATGACGTTTCCTTTGGTACTTTCCAGTATATAACTAGTGATTTCATTGAATTTAACTATAATACAAGAGCTGTTAATAACGTGCACATGTTATATCTGCAAAAATGAAAATCTTCAATCTGTTCTTGATTATGTGCGTGGTAAGTTATAAAAGATAATACTGATAAATTAATTGTTCATAAAATCTTCCGATCGATTTGAGCGTTACTTTCTCTATTCTTCTTTTTTTTATCACCTTATCCCATAAGGACTAACTTCATAACGATTAATTTCATAACGATAACGATGTTGTTGGCGTTTTAATTTCAGGTAAAACGCGTGCGTAAAATACCCAATATGTATTTCATAAACAAACATTCGCGGCCTAAAAAAGGTATAGAATATACTCACCTAGTATGTTAGGGGAGTCGTCTAGTGGGTGGGCCTTAAAATCCTTGGGCCCGCGATCTGCTCAACACCTGCAGATCGTTGAGTCTCACATACCCCGCGCGTCCCCTAGGCGCGGGGACCTCGTAGGAGGTTCGGACCACGACCCGAAAAAAAAAAAAAAAAAAAACTCACCTAGTCTCCATAATAGAACTGTAGACGCTTATCTTCTTTTTCTCCAGCTTATCCCACTAAGTGGGGTTGGCACACGTAATTTTTCTCTTCCATTATCTTCTATCAGCCGTCATCTCAACACTCACTCCTCTCTCTGTCATATCGTCACACACTCCACCCATGTCTTCTTCGATCGACCTCTTCCCCCTCTACTCCCTTAATTTCTTTATTATTTTTTTAATATCGAGTAATTAATTTAAAAAAGGCTCATCATAATGTTCATATCGATGAAGAATATACAGAAAACAAAACAAGTTACAATAAAAGTAACTAAAAAAAAACCTTACTTACTAAGCAAATGCCCGAAATTGAAAATATAATTCCAAATATTTTAAATAAAATTCATTTCGATTTCGAATCTATTAACAACCATACATGAATACTTTTCAAATGGCTAGTATTGTAAAACAGCAACTTCATCGGTAACCATCAAAGACCTCGTAATTTTTTTACTATTAACAAAGGTGAAAACAGCAACTTCATAGGTAACCATCAAAGACCTCGTAATTTTTTTACTATTAACAAAGGTGAAAACAGCAACTTCATAGGTAACCATCAAAGACCTCGTAATTTTCTTACTATTAACAAAGGTGAAAACAGCAACTTCATAGGTAACCATCAAAGACCTCGTAATTTTATTACTATTAACAAAGGTGAAAACAGCAACTTCATAGGTAACCATCAAAGACCTCGTAATTTTTTTACTATTAACAAAGGTGAAAACAGCAACTTCATAGGTAACCATCAAAGACCTCGTAATTTTCTTACTATTAACAAAGGTGAAAACAGCAACTTCATAGGTAACCATCAAAGACCTTGTAATTTTCTTACTATTAACAAAGGTGAAAACAGCAACTTCATAGGTAACCATCAAAGACCTCGTAATTTTATTACTATTAACAAAGGTGAAAACAGCAACTTCATAGGTAACCATCAAAGACCTCGTAATTTTCTTACTATTAACAAAGGTCATTTTTAACCATTTTTAATATGAGTTCTACTAAAATGAATATTACTTTTGTTTTAGTTATACTGCATGACTTTAACTCCGTGCTTTGCTGACGATGATGATTCTGATTCGGATATTGATATCCTCGAGATCGGCTAATCATTGGATCCTAAACTAATCATTATTTCAATAAAAATTAAGTGAACTTGTCATTTAATTCGAGAATTTAGTTTAATTGTTATTTTAATGCTCTAGATGGAATGATGGGCTACTACCTACGTGACACCTACGTGATGTTATTGACGCCATCTGGACGGGCTCCGGATAGCCTGCCGACCGAGAAGGCTGGTGGTCGAGGGGGAGGGTGATGGGAGGGATGTGCTCCGCACTAAACGCCTTACTCTCCCCCTTTTGCATTTCCATGAGTTCTGTCTCATGCGAGGTTCGGACGTTGGTTGTTGAGCGACAGGAGGTTTTTAGTTGGTTCGACTGTGACATGCCTCGCCCGCCATCCCCAGTGGAGGGTGGGAGCCCGGCGATTTCCTCCTGACCAAAAAAAAAAGAAACGTGATGTTGCATTGTTACCAGTATCAATAGACATTACAGCGTGTAAATCGCCGACTTTGAGTCATGCGGTTGAAGCATAAAATCTTTCGTATCACTGGTTCCCTTAACCCATCAAATCAGAACACTACTGTTTCGTAGCAGAAATAGGCCCAATTGTATCACCTAGCCGTAGAGACTCACAACAGTTCTTACGACACCAAGCTTTTTTGAAAATCTATAAACTTTGCAGACGTGTTTTAAACACGGTGCTATTTATTCCTTTAAAAATGTATTCGTTCGTGAACACATCCTTTTTTTTTTTTTTTTTTTCGGGTAGAGGGCCGAACCTCCTACGAGGTCCCCGCGCAAAAGGGGCGCGCGGGGTATGTGTCGTGAACACATCCTCCTAAGTTTTTGTTTTTTTTATAGTAAAGAAAACATGGCTGCAGTATATTTTTACCGATTAGTGATTTTTTTTTTAATAGCATCTTAATCGTCCTTTAAACTGCAACGTTTGACTATTTTGCAGCAGATATAAGTAGGATACCTATCTGCGCTAAATGATCAATTTGGAAAGTGGTAATAAAAGATAAATATCTAATATATAAAAATAAATCACTCGCTGTCATTTTTTAATTATAAGAAACATGAGA